GTGGACTTCAGACTTCATAAGAAAGCAGAGCTGGAAAGGACTGCACAGGGTCATCTACTCCAATCCCCAGTACCAGGCCCTCCCAGCCAGGAAACTCTCTCAGGGGTAAGCTTTCTTGCACAGAGTTGTGTTATTAATCAAGTGTGACTCTCAGTAATGTCTCCGGATTTTAATTGACTTCCTTTTTTTACCCAGCGACAGTCAATCCTGCACTTGGGTAGAATACGGTGAAATTGATAGACTATATTGGTTTATACTGCCTCAAAGTCCAGAACATTTCAGTGGATGAAGCTACTGATTCTACCCTCCTAGCTGGCATTTTTGTCCACTGACTCTCCCAAGGCCAGTGCAGAAGTCAGGCAGTGCTTCAAAAGCACAGTACTCCTAGAACACAGTGGAGAGAAGATGAAATCCTGGCCCCACTGATGGTGCCCTCATAGGATCATAGGAAAGTAAGACTGGAAGAGACCTTGTAAGGTCATCTAGTCCAGCTCCCTGCTCAAAGCAGAATCCTCCCCAACTAAACTATCCCAGACCAGTGTCTGCCTACCCAGTGTCTGCCTCCCAGACTAAACTATCCCAGACTGGTGTCTGCCTAACCAGTGTCTGCCTCCCAGACTAAACTATCCCAGACCAGTGCCTGCAGGAACTTCCAGGGAACTTCTGTAATTTCTCCAGGTAGCCTGTTCCAATGCTTGACCACCCACATAGTCCCCAAGTTCCTCTTAATCTCCAACCTAAATTTACCCTATTGGGGCTTGAGGCCATTGCTACTCTATTTCCACTATACTCCCTATAATTGGCCATCATTTCTGTGGTTTTGCACTGGCCTTTTCCAAACTGTCCCCAACTTTCTTAAAGGGTGGGGCCTCAAACTGTTCACAGTACTCCAGGTAGGGCCTTACCAATGTTGAATATTTCAGAATATTTCCCTTGATTTGCAAGTCACACTCCTGTTAATAAAACTGAGGCTGCTGTTGCCTGTTTTTCACCAAGTGCCCACTGTTTGTTCATATTCAGCTTATGGTCTGCTGTGATCACTACGTCTTTCTGCACAATACTGCAAGCTAGTCAGTCACTCCCCAGTCTGTTTTTGTTCATGCAGTCTTTTCATCATAAGGGCACAAGTATGTACTTGTCCTTGTTGAATTTCATCTGATACTTGCAGATCATTTCTCCAGTCTATCCAGGTCATTCTAAATCTTAGTCCTGACCTCTGGTGTCTTCAACTCTACCCAACTTGGTGTTATTTACAAATATGCTAAACATGTCCTCAGTGCCATTGTCCAAATCCAGGCTCAGGACAAAGCCCTGGGGAACCCCACTTGATATCTCTTTCAAACAAGCCACTGAGCCATAGGTGACTATTCACTGAACATTATGATCCAACCAGTTTTGTAGACATCTTAGAGCTCCTTCATCTTGTCTGTATTTCCTTACAATGAGAATGTTGTGGGAGACAGTGCCAAAATGTTGATAAAGTCATGGTATATCACATCTAATGTTCTCTCCTCATCCACAGAGCCTGTCACCTTATCACACAAGGAAATCAGGATGGCCAGGCAAGACCTGCCCTTGGGGTATCTATGCTGGCTGTTCCTGGTCCTTGAGTACATCTACACATGCAATTGATGCGAAGCAATCAATTCCTGGCTTATCGCCCTGAACTTTATTGTTTCTGGGTGTGCTGCTTGAACATGCACCTGGGACCACAGGATTTTGAGTTGGGTAGGAGAAGTTCTGGCTGGCAGGAGGTCCCAGGGGGTCAGCTCATGCACTGGAGGCAGCCCCTGCACTGAGGCACCCTCATGCCCCAGCCAGCTGAGGCAGGGTCTATATGTGCACTGCTGCAGAGTGAAAACTCCATAGGAGGGTAGTACTTCCATTCACAAGTACTATCCTGCTGCAGAGTTAGTTTACTCCAGCCTAATAGGGTTCATGTGTTTACTATGGAGCTAACTAGTCCACGCCGCAGGAAATGTCACATGTAGATATGCACCCCCCTCCCCCGCCCGCCCCTTGTTCTCTCCAAGGTCCTTCAAAATAGTCTATGAGGACCTGCCCCATGCTTTTTCCAGATATTGATGTCTAACATATATAACTTAAAGCTAACACTCATTTCAAAAGGACCAAAGATCACACCAACAATTCATCCTCTCACTTTCATCACAAACTTCTAGAGGTTTTTTGCCAGATGAATGGGGTTGTTCATTTTTTTTTAGTTATGTGACTTCTACAGGTTTCCCTCGATTTATACAGTGCATGCGTTCTTGGAGAATGGCGCAAAAATCAGACTCACATAACAAGAACCCACTTTATAATGTAAGAAATAGGGATATGGTCTCATGGCGGTGATGGACAGAGGGAGAGAGGCTGGGACTAGGGAAGGGGCAAAGGGAGGCGTGCAACGCAGTCCGTTGGCAGCTCCCAGGGTTGCAGCAGGCAGCAAGGCAGCAGGAACTGAGAGTGGGTGCAGGGCACAGGGCACAGGATGGGGACGCACCGCTCTTGCTGCTATGCACCCCCCAGGAGGGCTGCGGGCTGGGGGGCTGCACCAGGCTTTTCCTGGGGGAGGCGCAGGCCCCCAGATCTGCACGTGGAACAACAGCAGGCTGCTGCTGCAGGCTGGGGCAGGCAGTGCCACCGGGCTCTCCCTGGGGTTCAGCCGGCAGGTTGTGGGGGCTATGGCAAATTTTGGGGTGGCAGCAGCCCCTCTCCCAGTGCACTGAATGGCCCGCAGTTTTTAGAAAGATTTCCTTATTCTTAACCATTATTTTAAATATTTGTGTATAAATAAATGAAGCTGTATGACTTAAATTTGAAGCTTTATGACTTAAAATTGTATATAGTTTTGACAATTTTGATACATTCTAGTATATCTGTTATTTATTTTTTGTATATGTAGTTATGTTGTAGTTTTCTAAAACTACACATTTCTGCAACTCAGTTTATGAAGCTTAACCTGTAGTCTACTCTTAGATAGACATCGGAAAATGTGGTCTGAATTCACAGCCATCCTCAGAGTTCCTATAAATAGCACGGTGGTAAGAATCCAAAGTCAGTGGAGGCACAGTGCTGTAATATGTAATGCATTTTCATATGAATATCAAAAGATTTTGGATATAGGATCAATAACCAAAAAAAGTTTGTAATCAAATATTCAAAGGGTTGCAACTGGTACCAGTTGTAAAATAGACTTGTTCTGGGAAAATCTCCTGAAAATGTAGAAAAACTGGCCTTAGGTAGGCTCTCGCTATTTTCACCTTTTTTGCATTACACTACCTCCCTTACTCTAAAGACAGAGAGAGGAGGGACAATAATATCTGTAATCCTGCAAAAGTTATGTATGAAGCTGTGGAAGCACTTTTTCATTCAAATTATATGGCTTCATTTCTTCTTGAAGTTAGCTATGTTAGTCTGAAGTCAGGTGGAAGGCAGGGTAGATTTGCACTTTATAGATTAACTAAATCAGAAATGCATAGCATAATTTTTTGTAAGCAGAGGGTTTACTTCATCTGATGCTCCGCTTCTTGTCCTTTCACAGCATCGGATAAAGTAAACCCTCTGCTTATGAAAGTTTATTATTCTTTTACTAGCCAATTGCCCATCAAGAATGAAGTGCGGGGGTGGGGGGTGCAGGGATGGAGCACTGCCACCCATCACCCCACACCACCGCTACCAGGAATGGTGGGGGGTGGGGGAGGGTGAAGCTTGCTGCTGCTCCACATCCGGCCACGTGCAACCCGCCCCCTCATTGCAGTCTTGAAACAACTCCTGTGATGGGTCAGGGCTGGTATCAACAGTCAAATGATTGTTGATGCCAGCCGCTGTGTCCTATACCCAATGTTTAAGATGGATGTGGAGAGTTTGGAAGGAGTCCAAAACAGGACAACAAAAATAACTAGGGGACTTGGATGATTTGTGAGGAAAAGCTGAAAGAGATAGGCTGATTTGGTTTGGAAAAGAAAGGACTGAGGGAGTATTTGCTAACATTAATCAAATGCTGGAAGAGTTATTACAGAGAGAATGGAGATGGCTTTTTCTTTGTGGCCATAGGAGACAGGACTAGGAGCAATGACTTCAAACAGCAGCAGTGGGCATTTAGGTTGGAGATTAGGAGGAGTTTCTGGTGATAAAGGTGATTAAAATGGGAACAGACTACCTGGAGAAGTTGTAGAAAGTGGAGACCCTTGACAGTTTTCAAGAGCAGGTTAGACAGAAACTTGTCTGGGATTGTTTAGTCAGGATGATTCTGCTTTAATCTGGAGCTGAAGTAGATAACCCTGTGAGATCCCTTCCAGCCTGACTTTCTCGGGGTGTTGCCAAACTGCACCTTCTTTGAGAAGGAGACGGAGGAGGTCCTTCTCCGTACCTTCCTTGAGTCCTCTTGGCTGTGATGGCTCTTTGCGTCCATCAGCTCTTTCTGTTGTGCTGGACTTGGATTTCTGTGAAACTGCACTTTCCCCTGTCTTGTAGAAAGCTGCTGAGGGGACCAAGATCTGCTTGGTCCAGACCAAGATGGTGGCACTAAAGTGATGGAGGAACCATCTATAAAAGCTCAGCTCTCATGAAGCCCTCCATCTTTTTCAGTTCCTTTTTCAGACACATGTACCCTTTAGCTTTGGGCATTTCACCATACAAAAGAAAGTGGCCCAGTTTGTGTTGCACTGGGCCATCAAGGGGGAACTTCATGGTGCAAGGCAGTGGGCTAGTCCTAAACATGTGACCACATAAATGGCATGTGGGAAGGGTGAAGGGGGTGCCAATCTCTTATTAAAAGCGAAGGGTTTCTTTGTTGATGAATGTGTTTTTTTGTTGACTGATGCCTAGCCCCTTTGGAGCAATATCCTTCCTCATTTTTACTCTCTGTTTTTTAACATTTTTATAATAAAGGTTTTAAAAGTCTGTTTGTCTGTCTGTCAATGGGCTAGCTTTGTTCTCAGTTGGCTGCAATAGTTTACATTTTAATTTTCATTCTTATAGAATGAGAGCCCTCGAGAATGGAAGCCAGTAACAATACCAGGGCATCTGACTTCATCCTGGAGGGGCTCTTTGGTTATCCTCACCTCCATGGTCTGTTCTTTGGAGTCCTCCTGTGCCTCTTCATGGCTGCCATCCAAGGCAACTCCCTGATCATCCTGGCAATTGCCCTCCACCCGCCTCTGCACAAACCCATGTACTTCTTTGTTGCTAACCTGGCTCTAATTGACATTTTCTGCACTTCTTCTGTTCTGCCCAAAATGATGCATAACCTGATGCTGGGAAAGAAAACCATCTCCTTTAATGGTTGCATGGTTCAGCTTTTTACCTTCACTTTCTCAGGAGCAACAGAGCTTGTTCTCCTCACTGCCATGGCCTTTGACAGGTACATGGCCATCTGTCATCCTTTACACTATGTAACCATCATGACCAAGAGAGTCTGTATCACATTGGCGGCCAGTATCTGGGCACTTGGAGTCATAAATTCCCTTGTACACACATTGCTCATGAGGCGTCTAGATTTCTGTGGGCCCAACCTTATCCAGCACTTCTTCTGTGAGATCCCAGCCATGCTGGCAATATCCTGCAGCTCAACTTACCTCAATGAAATCATGGCATTTATGGCTGATATTTTCCTAGCCATGCTGAACGTCTTGCTGATTACCACGTCCTATGGCTTTATTATCAGGAGCATCCTGAAAATTCAGGGTTCAGAAGGGAAACAAAGAGCCTTCTCCACATGTTCCTCACATCTTGTGGTTGGCCTCTACTACTCCACTATGATCTACACCTACATCCGTCCACCCTCCAGCTACAACCTGGAGAAGGACAAGAAGGTGGCTGTGCTCTACACACTTGTGACTCCAGTGCTGAATCCTCTGATCTACAGCCTGCGCAACAAGGAGGTCAAAGTGGCCTTCAGGAAAATCCATCCATTCTACAAGAAAAATTCATCTTGGCACTAGTGAACTTGATTCCCTGTAACCTTGTGACATCTATTCTGGGTCTACATCTGACGGGGAATTTTGCACTATGGTGGGCTTTAATGGACACTGGCTGACACCCTCTTTATCTGAAATTCTCCTTTATTGTTATCCCCCAGCAGCCAAATTATTTTTCTTCTGTTCTTGTAGAATGGATGGAAGATAATGCAACCAGTGAATGTGTCACCTTCCTCCTTGCTGCTTTTTTGTGACTTAGTATAAAACATGAGAGAGTGGTATGTTAACAGAATAGAAGTAGTAATGGATTATCAGGAGTTGAACAGGGTAGAATAGAACGGCTGTTAGATACCTTACATGTCGGACAGGATCCAGCTCTAGGTTCATAGCACAATGATAAAAGTGGAGTGTAATGCACCAGTTTATACCAGTTGTATATTGTGCCTCCAATAACATTAATTATTCACGGTCTCCTATCATGGATCGATAGGATGCACTAAGAGTGTCTACATGTTCATGAATGCGCCATAATTATGGCACATTAAATTTAGTAATAACAGGTACTAAGTAATCGGGGCTCCTGCACATTAGCACAGAAGAATGTTTTTTGAGTGATGCTTAATGCCCATTGACCTAAAGCTACTGTGCATTACTGCATATGAACACTTTTTGTGTGATGCTTAATGCCCAGTGGATTAATATACGGCGCATTAACACAGTTTTTGCCAGCTGTGCTAATGCACACTAGAATTAGGCCAATGGGCATTAAGCATCTCTTGTAGATACGTCCACTGTGTAACGCTATCCTTCCAATATAGGATCATTACCTCAGGGTGTATGAAGGAAAGCAAACAGAACAATAAAACTTGACTCTCTCTTTGTTCTTTATTTTTTGTGAAATATTAAAATCCAAAATATATCTCAATATACTTTGGTTCCTGTTTGAATTTTACTTATCCACGTGTCTTGTTTAGGTTCCAGAGTTTTATAAACAAGTGTTTATCATAATTAATTTTTGTTCTCATTTAGGACTGCTGTATAAATGCAAGGCCGTGGATAAGGTGTTAATAAAAGCACCTCTTCTGGCTGTATGCTCTTAAGATATGAAATCTACAGTGGTCAGAGGTATCATATTAACTTACTGTTGATGGCCCTCCTTTTAAATATTTTTAACATGCTTTTAATATATCTATATCTACTGTGGTAAGGTACAAATCTACCCTGCCTTCCCCTTTTACATCCATCTTTAAATATTTCTTTAACCTTAACATTTAAGACTCAGGAAGAAGTGAAGGATGTGGTAGTGGGGGAGGAAAAAAAGAAACAGAAAGAGATGATAAATATGTTAAGAAGCTTTTGAAACAGGGTTGGAAATCAAGAAAGAGGATTTTGTAATTTCCTTGTTGCCATTCTGTTGAGCTATAGGTAGTTCTTATTGGTCGTTCTACATGGAAAATCCCATGCACTGCTCCCCTGCCACCCTGAAAGCAAAAAAGATTAATGTTTTTTCCCAAGGATGCTAGGGAGGAGAGCACCACAGTTTAGATTTTCTTAAACTATTGTTTTTCGAGAGGGAGCATATCCTAGAACCTACCTTACATAGGTTTCAGTACACACTGAGATCAGGGGTGGAATACTGGTTCACTTAGTGGCCATGCAAAGGGCAGCTCATGATTAATTTGGTGATACCTGTCCAAATTGCAGGACTGACTCTATGACATACTACAAGTGCCTAAGTGTCACAATTATTGGAATTGACAGATATCTACATGTGTCTGGAGGGCATCTGTTACCCACGCTGCCCAGTAATGGCTAATAGAAAACTCCTGCACTTTTGTCATGTAACTTAGAGTTGATCACAAGCTGAACTTTGGGCAGCCACTAGGTAAAATCCAGAGGATGAAGGATTATTTAAGCTTTAAGGCATTCTTCATACAAGAATAAATGTGGATCACATTCCTGTGAACATGTTTAGGCTGGAAGTTGAAGCAAGCATCTCACCATTCAATAGAAGCAAGATCCTGGTGAGCCTCCCCACAGAGGTAAATGCAGGGTAAGGCAAAAGAGCAGATTTAAGATGAGGAGGGGGATTATAAAACGTGACAGGCACACTTTCAGTATCAGCACTGGGGTATCTTTTTGACACAAGTCTCACAGAATTGTTGTGACAAGCTACCCTAGAGGCTGAGGTAGAGAGAAGGCAAATGAACACAGAAAAGGGAGAGAGAGGCAAAAATAGGCAGGGAATTAAAATGATCTCTACTGGTCAAGGGCTGGAAGTTAGGGGTGTGCACAGCAGTCCCTATTCGATTTGGATTCGGCCCGAATCAGGGACAGTGATTCAATCCATTGATTTGGATCACTGTCCCCGATTTGATTTGGTTGAATCCAAATCCGACGATTCGAAGCTGATTTGGCGAATCAGCGATTCGGGCATAGGCACAGCTTTAAAAGTTTCTTCTGCATACCTTGTGGTAGCAGCGCGGCTCATGACCGCTGCGGTGCTGGGGCAGATGGAGCATCCCACAGGAGCGTGGGAGGCCCTCCACGTGCTCAGCAGTGAACCCGGAAGTGAACCAGAACTACTTCCAGTCCGCTTCCCAGTCTGCCAGGGAGCGCATGGGCTCCTCCCCCCAGGCCCTCCCAGCCTGGCTATCAGCCACAGTGGGGCCCTGGGTGCTGCCCCAGGCCCAGGAGACACTAGTCGCCGAGCCAAGGGGGCACGGGGGGGGGGTACAGCATGCTCACTGGTGGACCTGGAAGTGCTTGTGGTCCACTTCTGGGTCTGCTGCTGAGCATGCTGGGGAGCCTCCCCTGCTTCTGTGGGATTCTGCATTTGCCCCAGCACCGCAGCGTTCAGAGCCCCTGCTACCTAGAGGTGTGTAGAAAAAACATTTAAAACTGTGTCTGTGTCCAAATCACCAAATCTTTCCGAATCTCTCTGAATCGATTCGGAGGATTCCAATTCAATTCAAAGAGATTAAAGGGTCCTCTGATTTGATTTGGATTTGGAGATTTGGCCACCGAATCAGGCCGAATCTCCATTGAATCGATTCAGGGACCAAAGTTTTGCACAGCCCTACCGGAAGTGCAGCAGGAACCCAAGGCTCATAAGGCAGGTATTCTGGGTTAAGTGCAAGCTTGTGGAGGGAGTGATCTCAGTTTGGTTCTGTCTCTTGATTTGGTCAGGATTCCTTTGAAGAAGAGGAATCAGTACAGGCATTGTGGACCCTGGGGTTGCAGGAAACTGGAAAAATGGCAGCCACAATGGAAACCATCTGGTTCCTCCCATACAAACTCCAAATGGACAAGCTTCCTGAAAACATAGCAGTCTAATCCTTGTGCCCACCAGGAGCCTACAATGACCAGCTGTAGGGAAGCTCAGAGAAATCGTTGTGCATGTGCTGAAGTGGACATGGTCACACCCCTGTCACTCATCACAGAGATCCATCCATGAAGGCTACTCATTGAATCAAGGGGAATTTCTTCACCCGTGATCAATGCATAAATATTTATGGACTCATGCCAGCCTAGGAAACATTCCCATGAAATACTGGAGGCATACCCAGAATGACTACTAATGGCAAAGCCACTCACATTACAATGATTTACAGCAATTCAGGAACTAGCAAATGCTCTTTAAAAATAACATAAATCCTAGTTTCTTCCCATTTCACCTGAGTGGACCAAACAAAATTGAGTCAGAAGGATTCTCTCAGGTTTGACCAGTTGTATAATACCATAACCAATAACACATTTCATCCTGTTAGCTATGTGCCAAAACTCCTTTTAGGTGCACCAGGCCTGCACTGATGGTGGTGAATATCCAAGTCAAAGGATTTTCCTCCTGGTATCACCAGTCTTCCAAGTACTCATGCAGTCATGAGATTCAGAGGAAGCACCCTTTCCTGCATATGTTTTTTCTAGTAAAATATTGAGGCTTTCAATAATTTGACAGCATTGTGCCTGACTTCAAATTTTCTACCCAGTGATATTCAGTCCTGGGGCTGGGTAAATAGAGTGAGATTGATAGATTAAATTGGTTTAACTTCAGTTCAGAATCTACACTATTGCATTTACTAAACTGCACTATTCCTCCGCTCTAAAATGTCAGTCTGGCCAACCGACTTCCAAGGCCAATAAAGAAGCAAGGCTTCAGGGAATCAGAAGGTGATACACCCATGGTATTAGCAGAGGCACTGCATGCTAGATATGCTGGAATGGAAAGCCAGATGGGGTCACAGATCAGCTGCAATCTGGCCCAGTGATCAGAGACCATATTGGATGAAAGGTTCAATCCTGGCCACTCCCATAACTAGCATTCATCTAATTAAAGGGCCAGCATTGCACCCTGAGAATTCATCCTGAGGGATTAATATGAAATCTACCTCTGCTAATAGAAACCTGACAAGGTTTACAAAGAAAAGTAAAGGGAAATTATGTTTCCTTTGGGTTATTTCATAAAAGGGGAGATACCTTCATAACCAACTTCTAGAGGTATTTTGCTAGCTTAATGGAGAATATTTTTTCAACCTGTTTAAGTGACTCACACTTTTCTTCCCCTTCAGGGAATTGTTTGAGAGTGAAATCTTGGACAGGCGCACAAGGGATTGAAGAACTTTTTGTAGAAGGAGATTCTTTGAAATGGGATTAATTTTAATCAATTTAGTACTTAATCAGTACTTTTAGTACTAGTCAGTACTTAAATGATCTCCTTCCCTGTAAAGAATTAATTTGTGTGGATCTACAGAGAGGTGAGGTTTGTCTTGATTCATTCATTCCTCCTCCTGCCCTTCCTTCCTTCTTTTTTTTTTTCTGTTGAGGCAAATGATACTCACCGTTTCTGCAGTGATAAATGAGAGCCCCCCATGAGGAGTGGTGGCAGTGGGGACCAGTTTCTGCACTCACACACATACATATATAGATACACCCACACATTTTTTTAAATATACAATGTCTGTTCAAAAAGTATCAAGACTAAATGTGTTTTGTTTCCTACAGCATCAATCTTGATACTTTCTGAG